CTTCTATTTCCTATCTCTCTCTCGTTTCTCCCCTATGTTTGCCTCTTCCTCAACATATTGTCCCATCCCCCTCACGTCTCTCATTTCTTTCCTTTTTTCCTCTCTTCGTTCCTATTTCTCTGTTTCTTCACTCTCACCTTCTTTTCTCCCTCTTATCTCTTTTAAATCTCCTGTTCATTCTTCTTCCCTCCTTTCTTAGTTTTCTATGTTCCATTCTCATTTCTTTGCCATGTCTTCCTTAATTTTTTTATTCTTTCCTTTTCTGCCATCCACACCTTCTGACGAAACCACCTGCCTTCCGCCTTCTTCCACATACTGCCTTCTGTGTACTAAACCGCGTACCCATTCCGTGATCTTTCGTGGCCGCAGCGATTTCAAGTGTTCCCATTACGAGTTTTAAACGCGCTTTCTCAAGATTGTAGTAAGTACGAACTCGTGGATTGCGCCACTCGCTGCGGCTTTTCCGAGAAAGCCGCGATTGTTCGAAGGAGGTCCCGCAAAAGAGGCAGCTCCCAGAGCGCGCTGCTGCGAGTCCTCTGGCCCTGCGATGGCGCCACTCCACGTCTCTCCACTCCACTCCACTCCACTCCGCGCTGCGCACCGCGCAAGGTTCGGGTTCGCGCCAAGCGACACACGATTTATTTTGCGGACCGCAGGAAGGACTACGAAAAATATAAAGAGCCTCCTCCATGTCGAAATCATTTCTTTAATGTGTTCCTTCTTTTTTGCTACACGGCTCTTAGCCCTTCTTGGGCATTGAGCTTACAAATATTATATTTCTGGAGTAATTCTCTTACTTTCTTTCTTTTGTCTCATCAGGTCAATTTTCTTTTTCCTTTTTGTCTTCACGTGCCAGTCAGTCAATGCGCTTTATCCCTTCAGTCACGGGCTCGGAGACATAAGTAATCGGGTTCGCAAACCGTTACCTATCCAGGAATCCGTGGTGTCTCGAGTTTCCTAAGTTCCGTGACTTGTCGGAGCGTAGTCAAGCAATTCGGGTAACTGCACCGGAATTTAAAACATTCCTCTCCCTGATAAGTGTTATTTTGGGAACTTTAAACTCTTTAGTCTGTTGAAAATAAAAATGAATGGGTTACAGGTAGACAAAATGCAGTAGTATGAAATTCTACTTTCAAAACTGACTCGATAATCGCATACCATCAGATATATATCCTCAATTGCATTTGTGAGTATTGAAAATATTTCTACTTCTTATGACCTAGAATACCATCAGTTAACAATCTCAGGCCATTTTATTACAAATAAATGTTGCAGATGCTATGTTTTGTAGGATAGAACATTATGGAACCTTTGACTCAAAATTACGACCGACGATCCATATTTCGAAATCTGGCTCAAAATTTACTTTTCATTCGAAAGCAGTATTGAAGGATATTGCATGTTAGGCGTAAAAGGGCCATGCGCCGGGCGCCGGGCAGCGGGCAGCGGGCAGC